TTTATTGTACAAAATATTATTTATTTCTTCCGTCTTTTGCACGTAGGGATACATATATTCTATTCAGAAATCTTGGGACAAGTACTATATTTTTGTAATAAATATAAATTACCTAAATTACTGTATTTATAATAAATATACATAATATAATCAAAAACAATAAATATAAAATATACTTTGCAAGATAAAGACTCTGTTATATATATCAATATATTGTATTGTGTTATATCATTATTAAATTATTGTATCATTGCATGATATTACATTATAAAATATGTATACACGACGAGTATTATATATTAAAAATAAAAGACTTTCAGGCAGGAGTATTTCACTTTTTGCATTTAAGAACCAAGAACAGCATAAAATGACATTCTAAACAAAATATTTATTTACTCGAAGGAATCGTTATCTCCTTCAGAAGCTTTGAACGTGCTCTGAATTCTTGAACGGGAGTGTACAAGTTCCTTATCTTTCATAATTAATTTCGCGCATCAGCAACGATCTCTGTGGCAGTAGCCTGTGTTTTCAAATTCATAAGAGACCCGCGGTCCCTTTCGAGTAAGAGTAGCTTCACAGATATTTTCGCAAATCTCCATTTCATTAGACGGAGGCAGCGGCAAATGGCTCGGAGGATCTGCGAGAGGTCGTTGGACTTGTCCCGCGAAACAGGCCAGGAAAATTCGTGAGGCCGTACCTCGGACCACCCGTCGCGTATATCCGTCTAATTAAACCGTCAGACAGCTTATCCGTCACGATCTTACTCGACGACACGGGGCCATCAACGCGGCTTCTGTTCGGTGGCAGGCTACCGTGGACGTTTCGGGATCGAGACGCGCGGAAACATTAACATAAAATGGGCGTTGGTGGTGCGCCACGCCCTACCAGGTTTCCTCGTGCTATCGTTGGAATCTGTCTATGAAAAATCACGCCGAGACAATCTCGGAACGGGAGATATCATCGAATATCTCGCGAGCAGCCTCGTACACTCGGTTGTCGGATCGGAACACTGCAAGTATTTCCAACGCTGTAACTACAGACGATCAAAATAAAATTTCCATCGTAGACATTGAAGTCCAACAAATAGAGAAACTTTATAATGGGTGATTGGTTAATGAACATGATCCGTTCAAAAACGATGGCAGTAAAATTTTACACACAGCATGTCAGAACATAAAAATCTATCGCGGTATTTCGAACCCATTCGTTAACCGATATGTATATTTTACGAAAAATTATCTAAATATTTAAAAACACACTGTTTCGTGTCTATAGAATGTCCCAAAAATTAAAAAATTGATCATTTTGACCACTTTGGTAGTTCTACTGCAGACAGCTGCGGGTCACGCTCGGATCTAAAATAAGAGGAAGTGTCAGATAATTCAAATAGAAAAGTTAAACATTGAACTTGACTCGGATACATAAGTTAGAGTTTGCTAATTCCATTCGGAACCGAAACTTCACGTCACACTCTGTGTTTTGTCTACTTTCTCTCTTCCTTTCTTCGTTTCTTTTCTTTCTTTTTTTTTTTCGTTTTTCAAAAGAAGTAAGATGGTTTCAGTCGGCGCGGAAATGTCTTTGAGCGGAGTCGCGTGGGCGCGCGGATAAATATCGAGATTACTTATTTTTCTTGGTCGGGCGAGTCGACGGCTCGTAAATGCCGTCGTATTTTCGCCGTCGCGCGTTTCATTCCCCCGCGGCGGCGATCACACGCGAGCCAGCCGGGACTTTTCTCGGAATAAGCTGGAAATTTGTGGCGACCCTTTCGCGGATCGTCAGAGCCGATTAAAAGCAACGCGCGTGAGAGGGCCTTTGATTGCGTTCGATCCCCGAAGTAACGGGGATTTATTGGCGTTATCGGATTGTTTGATGAGCAGCCTGTGCCTTTTAACTTTGATCTCTCTTTGTGTTTTCGAACGGGTGGTGGAAACATTTTTGTTTTCAACTAACTGTTTGAAGGAACTGTTGGTGTTAGAAGTCTTATCTATTGTTGAATGGCTCGTGTCGGATCAGTCGGAAATTTAACTTTGATGTTAGATATGTACGTACGTTGTACATCATTAAAAATATTACACATATCTCTAAGTATTATAGATATTACATTGTTTGTACTATTTTGCAGTATTTTCTTATTCGAAAGAGAAACTGATGAAGAACTGCATAAACATATACATACATTCAAATTCACAAAAATGATGTGCAGACATGCACAATTTGATTCACTTTTATTCCCATAAAATATCAAATAGACGGATACAATGTTGTCTGAGAGGAATCTCGTTCCGAGACTCCTTTATCGCGATTTAAAAATTTGGAAGGTTTTTTGATCTAACAGAAAACAAAACACGCTTTGATCGTTCGTTGAGTTCTGGCTATCCTATAGATGTCAGCTAAACCTGAAGGCAGGCAGTTACAGAGTAAGCACGATCCTCTCTGTGATAGAACGTTTGTCTACCGTATCTGATATTCCCCGGAACGAGGGTGCTTTTCCAATTCGCAAAGCGGAGGCCACACGATCATGGCTCCAGGAAACGCGATTAAAAGATGATCGTCGGGCCACGGGGGCCGAGCACGTTCTGCGGCGTGGCGGCCCGGTAATTGGGAGACCTGGTGGCTGACACCGTTTTATTCGCGCTCGTTATTCCCTCCGCGACTTTCTAGCTGATGTTTGGCGCATCGAAACGAAACACAATGAGTCGACACGCGTGAAATTCCGGCTGGCGTCGCGCCGCGGACAACGTTTCGTTTCGACTTCGTTACAGTGGCTTAATGAGCGCGCCGTGCGCTCGTTAAGGGACTGAAATATGCGCCTGTAAACGCTTCTGAAAGAAGTCTGATTCGAACAAACAAAAAAAAAGAAAAATGAGAGAAGAGAGACCGTTTTCGTCGACGGTTTTCGCGGACGTTGAAATTTTGACAACTAACAACTAGGTTTCGTCGCGTATTCATTGGAATGGTGCTGATAATAAGTGCGCCTATATCGACGATACTTTGCAATTATGGAATCTCAGTTTCCGAGAAATTTAATACTGAATTTAAGATACGTTGGTTCTCGCAATTATGAGACATTACAATTTTAAAGAGGAAACAAAATAGAGGTATTCAACTTCGATAATAGAATCACTTCGAGAGTTATTTCGTATCCTGTGAAATTGGATTCCCAAAATTTCTGAAGCTGATGTTACAAAATCATTTCCTAAACTAAAGTATCTCTATCAAAGCTCAAATGAAATATCTAACAGCTTCTGAATCGTCTAATTATAAGACGAGATTTCTTCGATCACAGCCAATTAAGCTAACGAAAGAAAGAAAAGAAAAAAGAAAAAGTAGGAAACATCTCAATTAATCGAAGTATCCTTTTCGAAGAATGCGTTGAATGCCTCACGTTTACACAATCTTTTCCACACGTTGACGTTGAAACCTGCTGGATCTGGATAAACTTCGAAAAGTTTATAGAACTCAGTTTAAAACCAGCATCGAAATAAACTTTCCGAAGAGTTGCTTCGAAACCTCGAACCCGGAATGTTGCTCGCCGTTCCAAATAAGATCCAGCGGCCAGCAACGCCGGCGATATATTTCAAAACCTCTTGAACCTGGAAATTCTTTTAGAAAGCGGCGAGACGCTCGGAGGGAACGCTCGCGGCTTCAGAAATGTCGTGGGCGTTCCTGGGTGCCGCGATTTCTCGTTTCACGCGTTCTCAGACGGAACACAACGCCGGCGTTCTATTCTACCGGCGTGGCCCGCGAGCACGAATGCCACGACGAGACGAGACGAGACGAGACGAGACAAGACGAGGCGGTTGTATCGCGTCAGAGGATCGAGAATTTCTCGTGCAGCGTCGCCGAAGCTCGTCCCTGCGAAACAAAGGACCTCTTATTTTCCACTTACCGAGGCTCGACAGCGGCGCTCGACTCCACGAGCGTGCGATATTCTCACGTGTGCCCAGTTACGTGACCGTGGTTCATCGCGGTCGTGATCCCGACAGGTGTACACGCACGCCGTTCGAATCTTCATTATCGATACCATCGCCGATAGTTTATGGTATTTCAATGATACGCCCCGAGAGCCGAATCGTAATTTCAGCGAGTACGTATCCGTGCGGTTTCCAGCCGCTGGATGAATTATTCAACGAGGATATCCCTCGAGCGACTTTATGTCGGGTGTTAATAACGACCTTTCGTCTCGATCGTCGAACGCATCCGAGTTTTCAGCGGCGCAATCCAGTTATTTGAATTTCTTTTAATTACCCGAGATCGCAACGTGCTCATGCTGTGGATTTAAAAACTGGATTTTATCGACTGTGGTATGGATTAGGTTTGGGTTAGGTTTTATTATTACATCTATCGATATAAATTGAGATTTGATGTGCAATGGAATGGAATTCCAGTATTTAGAAAGAATGATGTTGGAAATAGAATTACCAGAGTGGTCAATTTGTATTTTAAAAAATTCGAATGATTTTTGCATGAATGTATAAAAATTTCTTCCCTCGCATTATTATTTATTTCCCATGAAAATAATAATATTAATTTCGTCACTAATGACCTCGCTGTCGATGCGACATTAAAGAAAAATGGAAGAAGAAGAAAAATATTAATTTTATGCTCTAACTCATTCCGGATTGTACAATAATTTATCATAATATCATAGACGCTTCAAGTTCCTTACGAAATTGTAAAATCTATTGTACGTAAAAAACCGTGTCTTGGTTACTTTTTCTTTTTTAAATCAATTATAGGCCTCAACTCACTCAGGATTAAACAATAATCCATCATAACATTATAGACACTTTATTTCACTTGTATTTCACAAAATTATAAGATCTAGGTAGAAGACAAAATTTAATCGCATGTTTGGAATTCTCCGATATTAAATGGATAGAACAGATTTAACAGAACAGAATTTGATCCTCGATTCATCGTATTTCGATTTGTCAAACAATTTATCAACAAAGCGAAAAGATTTGTTGACTTCATTGGGAAACTGTGTCTGTCCACAGGTGATCAAAGGGAACACGAACACCTACCTGGAGTCGAAGCACGAGTTAGAGCCGCCGATGTGGGCGAGTAAAGTTCGCTTCTGGCCGTACAGCTATCATCGTCGTACCGTTTGCATGCGGGTAGAGTTGTACGGTTGCCCGTGGAACGACGGGATCGTCTCGTACTCGATGCCGCAGGGCGACAAACGCGGCAACTGGGAGTTCTTCGACGCGACTTACGACGGTTACTGGGACGGCCAGCTTCTGCGCGGCTTGGGACAGCTGACGGACGGCAAGATCGGGCCGGATAACTTCAAGATGAGTTACTATGATTACGACAGAGGTCAGGGATGGGTCGGATGGAGGAACGACACCAGGTCCGGTCATCCTCTCGAGATCAAGTTCGAGTTCGACCACGTCAGGGAGTTCTCCGCCGTGCACATATTCTGCAACAATCAATTCACCAAGGACGTACAGGTAATTCTTGCGAAATCGATAGCCCGAAGTTAATATAATCGATAATTAACACGATGAACGATACTTTTGGGTAGAACGAGTGAGAAGTTCGTTGACTTGTATTAATATTAATTTGTCGAGAGATTTATTGATCAGTTGTTTGATTTATTTGATCGATTGATATTAACTCGATATTAAGAGACGTGGAATAATTCGAAAGCAATGATTGGTCAAGAATTTTATATTTATTAATATACACTTTCTCATGAAACTGATATAAATTTGAAGATATTACAGTCTAGACATTACAAGATATACACATTTCACAGAAACACAAAAGATTTACTTCAACGGTCACGATTCGTTATACCGAATATTCATTTATTACGTGCTTAAGATAAATATCTTGCATCTTTTAAATATATAGCTATTGTTAAACTAGGCTTGAATTTCATTACATAAAAATTCATCTGCGACAAGTGTTCGAGGTGGTCCATGCATCTATCATGATTAATAGCACATCCTCAATATTTCTTTCTTTTATATATGACGTGTAATAAAATAGAACGAGGTGAAAACGATTACCGGCGAAAACGAAACGTTCGGTATTGATTTAGCGTCGCGTCGTGATTTCGATGGTAAAGAGTAAAAAGGAAGAGACCAGAGGAAAATCGGGTAGGAGAAACCAGAGCCTTCCCCAACGTTTGCGGGTCGTGATCTTCGTATCCCCACGAACAAACCCTCGGGCAGGTTTTTGGCCCGGAGAATAGTCACGTACATATTTTACGTTCTGCAGCATGTAGAGCGAAAGTCGAGCCAGTACCGGTAGCACTTTCATCATGCAACATCCCTCCTTCACTTCGTCAAATAATGAAATTCGCTTACAATTTCTCCTTAAAAAATAAAATAAAGTCCGTTTCTTCCAATGGAACGAAACGAAGAAAATAGAAACAGAAAAGTGCAGAAGAAAGGGAGGAAGGGACACGCATCCTAATCCATCCGCTTTAAATTTTAATATTTTGATTCGTTCCTGTTCGTCAATACCATTTGGTCCGACGATGGAGAGAGAATTTCCACCGTAATCCCTTTACTGGCGATCCCTTTCGAACGCAAGTCCGGCCGCGTTATTTTCAAATTTCCTCTATGATCGTTCACCGAATATCCGCGAAAACGTGTGAAGAAAAAAAGAGAAGAGAGAGAGAGAGAGAGAGAGAGAAAGAGCGAATATATACGAGCACGACAGGGAGGAAATTGGAAGGGCCCGCGGCGGTGACTCGGCAGGGGTGAGCGAAAGAAAAAAAAAATAAATATACCGATGGAAAGGGAGAGAAGGGAAACGAGGGAGAGCCAGGTAGACGCGTTGCCGGATGAGAGAGAAGAAGAAAAGGAGGGAAGAGACGAAGGGAGAAAAATGGTGAACGAGACGGACAATCGCGGCGAAAATACGCGCCGAGTCCTCACGCCTTCCGCGCCCTCGAGGAGAAACGCGGGAGAGAAAAAGACGACGGCGCGCGCCATGAAATCCAGTTTTCGCGTTGAAGTCAAGGTCGGACGTAGGAATGGGTAACGAGGCGCAACAACGGTCGGCCTCTGGCAGCTTCGGCTGGAGCGGATGAAAGGAGAGAGAGGAAACGAGCCGGCGCGCGACTTTACACAGGGTGATAACAACGGGCGGTGGCCACAACAGAATCTCTGCTGGCGATGGTGGTCGCCGGCTGGCGTTCCCCGTTTCTGCAAGAATTTTCCAGCTCCCGCCCCCGTGCTTCCGGCCACGAATTTCTATATAATGCCCCCCCCCCTCCCCCTTCCTGGTATCAAGATTTATTTCAATGGAGCCCCTCATTACCCTGGTGAGGCCTTTGCTCCATGATCGAGCAACCAACAGACCTCGACGCAACAAACAAGCAAAAAGGTTTCGAAAGGACGAGAGGACGAAGGTTTTAGCGGACACGGGGAAGGTTGAGCCACCGTCGTCTCCATTTTCTTTGTCTTCCTCGTTAAATTACGAGATATCTAAATTGGCTGACGGATTTATTCTCTTTTTTCTGGTACTTAAGTAGCGACGAGAGAAAGCGAAGGCGAAGAGCGCGCGATCAAACGGACCGGCGCTGAAAAAGGAGGCTCGTCTGTTTTTATTATTTCATAACTGCGAAGCATTGTGTTTTACATCTCTTTTTTTCATTCTAAGAATTGACTACAGTGTCACATTGCGACTGATAGGTCAATTTTCTCACTTCTATGCAACTTGCTTGACAAAGAAAAAAAAAAAAAAAGAAAGAAAGAAGTGTTTTAATAAAAAGGTAGTTGAGGAAGATACAAGAACTCTTATAAAACTAGATAGGAATTTGAGATAGGAATAAGTTCGAATTAATTTACCTGAACCAACATTAGTCTACATAATTATTCAAGAGGGTAACAAACATAAATATTCAATTTGAAAATCAAACGGAAAGATAGATTGTCGATATACTGAATTTTATAATCGTTTTCCTAACTTATATTTTTCACTGTCGATAGATGAAAGTTCTTCCACTTCGCAATTCGCAATTTTTTTTCATATTTCACATATTTTTATGATACATCAATCTAGATCGGCCAAAGTACCGGTTTAAACGCGAAATAAAAAAAAAGAAAAAAGAAAACATCTCGGGATAATGGGCGAACGATGAAAATGTTAAAGAACTCTAATCCCTGGCGACGCGTCGCGACGCGACAATGAGCCGCGCGATCCACGGGAATCCCTTGAAATGGCAAACGACGGAGAATGGAAGTTTTCCGGGTCGACGTCGGTTGATGCGCGCGCTCCTCGACAGAATAGGCCTCGAAACACTCTCTCCTTACCGGTATCAAGATTTATTTGAATGGAGCGCCTCATTACCCGGCTCGGGGCTCGATTGTGCGCTCGCGACCGGGCGAGATGGAACCCGGGCCGAGAGGTGGAAAACGAACGAAAGGCGGCGAAGGCGGGGGCAGCATCGGCTCGAAAGTGGGGAGAGGAGCTTCTTCTCTCCGGAGGAGAAGGAAGACGAAAAGGAAGACGAGAAGGGAACGTCGAGAAGCAAGAGAAACGGTCTCAAGCTTCGCGGTCGGATGCTGTTCTTTCTCTCTTACGTACGCACAATGCTAGCGAGCAACGAGCCGGAGAGCAGATACGCCACGTATTCAAATACAATACCGACAAGTCTGGCAAGTCGGCAGTCTATGGCTCGAGGTACGAGAGCGAGCAAGGGGTGTGAGATGGTAGCAACCGTCCCTAAACGTCCCCTTCTATTAACAAGCGACCGCTCGCGCGGATAGGACACGTCTTCTGAAAGACAGCACTTCAAAGCGTCGCCAGTTTCGCGCTCCTCGTCTCTCTCTTTCATTCTCTCCCGTGTTCCTCGAATACTATACTACGCTCCTATATACAGTGGCTGGTGGTGGTTGTGCACGGTTTCGTGGCCGCCACGTTCGTCTTCTTCGGCTTCCTCATACTCCTACCCTTGTCGTCGAGGCCCTCGTCATCGTCGACGAGCTGCTCCGGCAAGACAAGCTTCAACGGTATGCTGCTCCCTTGAAAATCCGTACGCATCGTCGTTGCGTTCGGGGAGCTAAGAGAGTTAGATAATCTCAGCTTTGTAATCTCCATTTCCAAGCCTCTCACGCCGTTCTCCTCGTCTTTACTCTGTTCTTCTTCCTCCCCCGTTCTCTCTCTCTCTCTCTCTCTCTCTCTCTCTCTCTCTATCTAGCTTTCTCTGTCTCTTCCTATCCTTCGTTCGTGCTACCTGTTTCTACCGCCACAGGTTTCCTACTCGTGCAACTATCTTACGCTTTCCCAGAGTGGAATTAGCATTCCACGCGTCTCCGTTCTTCCGAGTGGCGTACGAAGCGTACACGTAGGCCACGGTTACGTTCACAATTATCGAAGTCGTCGATGTCAACCGAGTGTTGCCTCTATAAAGTTGCTCGTTATATCCGCAATAAATACGCCGAGTGTGTGCTCGCGCGGGAGGAATCGCGGAGATATATTAGCATCCAGGAACGGCGTGCAGCAGGCCAGCGTTCCTCCCGGGGCTTGCTCGACTCAAGACGCTGATTTATACATACAATTAATGTTGAATATTAGCCACTACGTCATATTTAACGCGCACGATGAGAGCCTTCGTTTTACCATCCGGCGCAACCTCTGCCGCCGCCTGGTTTTATTGTTGCATATTTTCCGGGCAACGCGGTTTACGAGTATATACCTGTTGTACCGAGCCCCGTGAACGATGCTTCCACTGAAACATTAAGTAAGTCTTCCTCCAGAGCTTTCATTAGATACGGAAGATTCGTTTATTATCGCCGTTCTTACGGGCAAATACGTAAGCACGATTTGTTGTTTATTTTACCCCTTGCGCTGGCAACTTGTTCGCGGACCATAACGAGTGACCGAACCGTGTACAATAATTTGTCGCTTTCTTTCTCTTTTGAACTCGTCGGTATGATATCACTGGATAGAAATTATTAAGAAGTATAAGAATAAACTTGTCATTTGTTTTGTCTGGGTTACATTTAAATATATTTAATACTGAGAAAATGTTGCAATTTGGGACGTGCGTGGCACTTCATTCCAACGCAAAAAATTAAGATTAGCATCAAGCGCGGATTTTTTTACTTTCCATTGTATTTTGTTGAGTACAAGGAGCAATCGAACGATTACGAAAATGATCGTAAGTCGTAACACATAATTATATCGCTCAAAAATATTTGTTCGAAATTACATCGTTTAATTCTAAAAATCTGAAAACTTGAGAAATGTTCTTCTGCCATGTCACAGGTGTTCTCGGAGGCCAGTATAATGTTCAGCGTCGGTGGTAGATATTACACGGGGGATCCGATCGTGTACTCGTACATGGAGGACAGGATATTCGAGCATTCGAGAAACATCTCAATCAAGCTGCACCATCGGATTGGCAAGTTCGTTAAACTGAGGTTCGGCTTCGCCTCGCGGTGGATCATGATCAGCGAGATCACTTTCGATTCTGGTAATTACCGCTCGCAATGATCAAATTTGTTAATCGATCAATCCATAAATGTTCTTTCGCCGTGAGACTTGCAAGTAACAATTAACAGTTAATAGTTAATTAATCTTTCGAGATCACGAAAGAAGCACTGTTGTCGTTTGTTATAGATATCGCTCATGGAAACTTCACACCTGAATCGCCGACTACGACGGAAGTCCCGAGACTGAGGGATCGAATCTCAGCACGTGACAATCCTCTGCAAGCTGAGGTTCCAGTGGTGAAGCAAGACGATCCGACGTACATGGCCGTGATCATCGGTGTCCTGACCGCGGTGATCCTGTTACTCGCTGTCGCGATTTTCTTGATCGTCACGCGACACAGGCAACGCAAGAACTTTGCGAGTCCTCTCGGAACGAAGAGTGCGATCCCGTCAAGCAATCATCAACACCTGTCGCCGGAATCCGCGTATGGGACCACGGAAAAGGATCCGTCGTTGATGACGTACAGAGTGGAGGAACTCGACGACCGGTACGCCGGAACAAAACTGACGACGCTGCCCCGCGACTTGAACGATCGCTTGCTCGGTGACGTCAGGCTGGACGAGTATCAGGAACCCTTCTACGAGAACAAGCACCGAGAACCGCCTCACGCCGCTTACTACGGATACAGCACCGTTGTTATAGACAACAAGGACCTCCACGACAACGTCGAGCAGTCTGGTAAGTGTCCGCAGTCACTTCGTAAGTGATGTATCTTGAGATTTTCATAGGTTGCGAGAAGTAAGAAAAAAGCATCCTTTTTAGAGGATTAACGTAAAAATTTTGATTGAAGTCCGTAGACCCTTAGCTTGTCGAATATTAGAAATTCCCAACTTCTGAATTTTCAAATTTCCAATTTCCAAGTTTTCAAATTCTTATAAATATTAAATATTTAATGATCCAAATCTAATTTCTAATCTCTTGTTTTAATCTCTTCTTTTGAGTCTTGCAAATATTAAAGATTTAATTATCTAAAAATCTTTAATTCTTTTAATTACCGAATTTTTGAAAGTCCAAGTATTCAGCCGAATTCCCATGGTTTCTAGGTTTCTAAATTTCTGAGCCCCTAGCTTTCGATTATTCTAATTTTCGAATCTTCAAGTTTTCAAGTGCTCTTCGAAGAATTTAGATTTCAGGATATTCCAATCTTTCAAGTTCGAAGCAACCGAGTGCTCGAGCCTTCGAATATTTCAAAGTTCAATCTCTCTGTTCGCAGATGCCACCTACGACTATGCAGTGCCGATGCCCGTGCCTAGCGTGAGCAGCGATCAGGACAGCGTGTTCTCCAAGTCATCATCGAGGGGTAGCGCGAAGGTAAGGATTTTGCTCGACAAAAATTCACCTAAACACGTCGAACTTTCAAGAATATCACTAAACTACCACCTGCAATCATTTACTATAAACAATAACTACTATCAGAATAATCTAACGATGACTTAGATCGATGCTGTAACGTCAACTATATAATCTCCTTCGCGAGACAATAGACCATCGTGCAACGCGAATAGAATATCAAGACCAACACCTTCGAAGCGCGTCAAATCATACTCTTTGAGGTGCCGTTCGTTTCCTCTCGATATCGCTTCTCGTTGCCGAGATATCGCCGTTCGAAGCGAACCGTAATTTTCTGTACTTAACTATTCGTGTCTCGCACCGTGTGTTTTTTTTCCCCGACCTGTCCCAGCTCGGAACACCTGCACGCTGGTCAGTGACACACGCGCGCGGCTGACTTTTTCCCAACAGTACTACTCGCGACGTGCGCGTCACTAGGAATAGAAGTAGGTCAAGTCTATTCCAAGAATCTCGGTTGTCATTCATATCCCCGGTGCATCTCGCACGGTAAACTTTCAAGTCCCGTATCTCAGCAACCATTTGAGATATCTACTCGAAACAAAAGGCTCTTGAAAGCTCCTGCTCCTCTTCGACTTTTCAGCGTGTTTACTGTGAAAAATATCGTATTCTCCAAAGTTATGCTTTACGAGAGTACGATCACTTTCTTTCGTCAATTGGACAGATATTACGGTAGGAGCATATTGAGATCAATGTACACTTCATTTATTTAAAATGTAGTACACGTGACAAAAATTCCAAGAGACACGTTCGATTCTTTTTAATCCTTTGTTGCATTAGGCGTGCTTGCAGAGCTTTTTCCCACCACCACCGCCCCCGATGAGCGCGCCGCCCCCACGAGGCTCCAGTAATCTGACGTACTCGAACCCGCCGAGCCCGGAGCCAGTTTGCGAGCGCGAGCGCAGAGGAAGCAAGCGCCGCGAACACTCCTTGCACAGATACGGGTAAGGACAAGCTTCATCCTCTGGAATGTACGCGGCACGCCGCTGGATCCAAGGTACGACACAGCATTTCGTGCTCCACCTCTTGAGAGATCGACCGATTGATCCAAAGTCTTCAGCATCCATAGATCCCTCGTTCGCTATTACTGTGTACATCAAACCTATTTTCGATCTTCCACTTTACGAATCTCACGTCGCGACGATTACGTGAATCATTTGGAGCACCATGCTGATCAATTTTGTAAACTTCTATGAGTATTATTTTCGAAAGTTTATGCGTAGTCATTTACACTGCCTCCTGTAACAAACGAAGCTCTAATAATTGAAACGTTCAATATAAATGGTGTTCAAACGAGTAACGAAATTAATCTTGTTGTTCTTCTACTTGTATCTTTCCAAGCGTTTCTCCTTTTCTACGGTATCTCATTTAAGGAAATAAATGGCGGGATATATGTGAAATATTGAAACGAAATGTTTGAAAATTGTATGTATTTTAATAACCTGCTTGTTGAACCATAATATCCATTTCGAGTCACGTAGACTCTAGAAGAACAACAGGATTGAGGACTTTACGTAAGACAGAATTGATCAGTTTGCATTCTGAGAGACTCGTACCGCATACATACGTTTCATCTTCAAAAATTCAATACTGGAAAATCGCTCGATCCGAAAGAGAGAGGCAAGTGCTCAGACATGAAGACTTAGTGAAAAATTGGGGCGCCATGAAGCGTCGAAACGAAGCGGAAGAAGAAGACGTGGAAGAGGAGACGATGAGAGATCGAGTTTGAGCGCAACCGAGGCAAAGATTTTTTTTTTTCTTTTTTTTGTTCGCGCCACAACTCTCGAGCGGTCCAATTAAAGAGGAAAAAAAAAAAAAAGGAGAAAAGAAAAAGGGAGAAATACGATTGGAAAATCGGGTAAAAAATCGTCTACGGTTCGAACGCAGCTACTCGAACCGTGGTCTCGATCTCATGGAAATCTTTCTCTCGAACGAGCACTGCCATTCGCGCACTTTCCGTAGAGTAGAGGCGTAATACCTCGAGTGTCGCGCTTCAAGGGGACTTAACCTACTTGCAGCGTGCAGGTAGATGCATTGCGTAACCGGAGTTGTAACTACAATTGGCATATCAGTTTAACGGCAGCGAACTGCCGAGAGACTCCTCTCTGGAAATTCAGCTTCTGGAAACTGTTCGAGAAAAAAAAAACTGCTCGCACGTTCGCGATCGCTGTAATCGACGCGAAATTGACTAGAATCTCAACGATGTATTTGTTGAATATTATACACAAAAATATCCCACTCCTAATTTCGACAATTCTTTAATTTGTTGTTGGGGTGAGTAATGTCGCGAAGATTTTAATCGACTTTAGTCGCGAGGATTGTCGCTCATTGAAAAATTCAATTATAAATAATTATACATTATATTATAATTATTTTTAATGTAATTATAATTCAATATTCAATAATGCAATATGAACATAATTATTTGCTACTATGTTTAATTATAAATTATAAATAAATTGAATTATACATAATTTTGTATTCAAAAGGGTCATTTGTATTCAATCAAATTTCTTGCAATTGGCCACACAGTGTAGTTCTTTTGTTGAAATTTCGCGACTCGCAAGTTGTACGACAAGATTCTGCGCATATTAATTTCGACATTGCAGAACGAAATTCTCCATCTCGAAAGGAAACCTAGCCCTACCCGAATCTAATATTAATCGAATCAGAAATTCGTTTCGAACAAATTTTTCAATAAACGACGCTCGAAATTCTTCGCGACGCTGCTCGAGTCAATGAGCTTGACAACGCGTTGAAAAGAATCAATGAAATCGCGGGCGGACGCTTTCGTAAAAATGTTCACTCAAATATTTCCCAGATCAGGTTCATCGTCGTTCCTCTGCGAACGTGATTTTTTCACCGACGTTCCCCCGGACTATTAAATCGACGAGGCTTCGATTTCGCGGATCTCGCACGTTGCCTCGAAACGCGCTTCGCAGGTCGTCGTTCGCCGTACTTTTCTTTCGTTTCTCCCGAAACGCGCGCGAGAAAGTTATCGCCCGCAACCGTCCTCCCCCTGGAATTCCAAACTCCGCGGCGAGTTGCGAAGGTTCGGGAGAGTTGCGAGCAGAGGAAGGCAAGAGGAAGAGAAGGGAAAAAAGTACAACTTTCGCCGTGTTTCCAGCGTTTCTTCCGCGCCGGTGAAAAGCGCGAGCCGTTCCGGGCGAGCTTCGTTAGGGCGTTTTCAGCGGGAGGCGCGCGTATCCGAAACGACGACGCAACCGTGGCGCGACTCGGCCGAGCGGATTTCCAGAAGGAGTCGCGTGTTCAATGGTTTCGTCTGTTTGGCGCGCATGTGCAACCGGATCGAGCTCGCTATCGATCCACCCCGTGGCTAGGCAAACGATAAAACGAAAGAGCGAGGGGGGAAAAAAAAGGGAAAGAAAGGAATTGCTGGTCGAAGGAAGAAATCGCTACCGATCGGCCCTTTCCTTCTGTTCTCTCCTCTCATTCGTTTTATCCCGGCAGGGGAGAAATATGTACATACTTTACGTAGGCGCGACTTCTACTCGCGACCCGATAATTAATCGCCGGTTAATTGGTCGGTTTGGAATACGCGATCCGCGTGGCTCGACGATGCAACGTCAGGCATTGTCGTGGCATGAACAAGGGAGCGAGGCTAAAAACGGATGGGGGATCGAGCACGGGTTGAAGATCGATGCGATGATATCGAATGGAAAACGGTGGCGATAGTCACGTGGGAGAGTCACAGGATGGGTGATGGGGAGGAATAAAAGATTTGTTGGAAAAAAAGGGAACGTTAGCGAGCTTCGATCCCGCCTCACACAAGACTGACGTCAAATAAATAATCGAGAATATATCCCGACTATGCTGTAATACACGTGCGCACGCGCGTCCGCATGTACGTGTCTCGTCGTGTTATTTATTATCGCAGCATATAGCGCTCCGTAAACGAATCTTTTAATTTATATACATACGTATTACACGTATTTGTATAACGTACATGTGCGAGGGAAGAAACAAGAAGAAAAGAAATTATACATATATATATATAAATAGATATATAAATACAACAAAGGTAATGCGTAATTGTTCGCGCGTCGGCGGATTTCAAGCGTATGGTAACGATATATTATATATATATATATGTATATTGCATAAGCCCGACTTTATTTCTCTATCACTACCGACATCGCCTTCATGCAACGAGGAAATAAAAATCGAGGGGTTTAACCGACGTAAGGAATCGACAATACAGGGATGAGACAACAATAATTAAATACATTGCGTGCGTAAGAAAAAGAAAAAAAAAGAAGAAGAAGAAACAAGGTGAACGAGAGAATAAACGCGGAGGAGAACGATGCGAGAAACAATGGTAAATAGGTAGACGTGATTTAAACGCGAGCATGGAGAGAACCGACCACATTGTGATATATTAAGGAAACTAATGCTATAATAGTAAAGGTTGGAAGAGAACGGGACGACGAAGGCAGCCGCGGGACGTGAACGATAGTGGCACACTTTGACGAATCTCGCGCGTTCACGCGAACTTTCACGAGCAGGCTCTTCGGTGAATATCTATCTCCCCGCTCCCTCCCTCTCTCTCTCTCTCTCTCTCTCTCTCTCTCTCTCTCGATGCTATGCTGTTCTCTTTTGTTACACAAACGATTCTCGAAAGCAAGTTTACGTGCAGAACGCTTGCAAAGTATATTTTTGATTTACACCTCGAGTCTTTTACTCGTTATACACACGAGGGAACGAACGTTTCGCGCGGAGATCGTTTCTCAAACGAAAGATTCGACGAAGAATTCCCCTTATTGGAACGGCGTTCTCGTTCCCTCAGCGAACGGGGGAGGGATACACACATGCGCGTAGCATCTAACAACGATCGGAAACCTACCTATGTATAGTTAGTGTTTAATCGTCGCCACCATAGAATGTTAAAGGTAAACCGTAAGAGTGACAGCTTCGAGTGCTTCGAGTGTAAATATAACCGTTAGGGACCTCGTGACACGTACATTTACAGCCACACACACACACACACACAACATTTACGTATAGACACCTTTCAAGCGCCTTAAGTTAGAGGGAGGGGAGAGGGGATGGGGAAGGGCACTGTGCAAATAACTTGCTCGCAATAATAATCGTCGTTTTCTGTTCTTTCTACCTGTTGTTTTCGTTCACCTCTACCTTTGCGCCGTTTTATCGGAACGATCGAAAAAAAAACGAAACAAATCGCGAAAACAGAAGTACACCCGGTTGTCCGAAAGTTTGGAAAATTTCGAAATTCGAACAACAACTTTCTTAAATAAATAAAATAAATACTTTATTTACACATTAATATCTTCAAGCATCGAAATTATAGATTTGTAACTATGATAACTCGTCACGATCAACATGAGGAGGTAGAATATAACCGCGAACAGCGGTTGATTAAAAATGATCGGTACATTATCCTTTGTACTAATGGAAAATGGCATATCACGTAAGAAGCAAAACTTACAATTACAATATTTGTATTTTTCAAAAAAAAAAAAGAAAAAAAATGTATGACGAGATTTATTAAAAAAAGAAAAGAAAAGAAACGGGGCGCGAACTTCTGAACAAGCGAGTGTACAAGCGTTATCGTTTTCGACGTTGTCGTAATAATTCAACGGCGGACCGGACGAAAGAGAGAGAGAGAGAGAGAGAGAGAGAGAGAGAGAGAGAGAGAGAGAGACAGAGAAAGGGAGGAACATTCGCCTCGTGTTCCTTCTTTCTCGGTCCTTCGTCCGGAGTCGCGACGATCGCGAGAAACTGCGGACGCGTGGTTTCCGGTATCGCGCGTACCGCCGGATGTTCCATCGCGTCGCGTTCAACGCTCCGTTTCGAGCTTCCGTTGACAACGTTAAGCGAGCGCGATCGGGGGAGGAAAAGGGAGAACGCGGAGATCCTTATCGCGCCGGCCGCAATTTTTCACCGAACTTCTGCAATAACCTCGGCACCGAGCATTAAGTACCTTGAACTTCCTGCACTTCTAGTACCTAGGCAAGTCCCCGCTTCTGGCAATAATCGTCAATTTATCTTAAAGCGTGCACAGACGATAAAAAAAAAGAGTAGGAGGGAGAGGGGAGGAGCGACGTTCACGCGCAGGCTATACGTTAAGTAAGAATTAAATCAATAACCGGTCAAAGGTGGAAGTGTGAGAGAATTCGAAGAGTTCTTAGGGATTCGATAATAGAGAGAGAGAGAGAGAGAGAGAGAGACAGAGAGAGAAAAAGAGAGATGATAGAAAGGACAGAAAGGGTGTAGAGGAATAGGAGGAGAAAAAGAAAAAGAATGAGAGAAGATCGTTAAAGATGGTGCACGCTCCCTCCCTCTTCTCTCGGATACGAAGAGGAAGATAAAGATGACGAAGGACGGTACTTTCGTGCCTGCTCGGAGCGTACTTCTTAGGATACTTTATGGTTCCTTTGTGCAGCCGGAGCTGCATGCTGCCGACACGTCAATGACAACCGGTGCGCCGAGTGTGCACCGAGATCGTCGCGATATCGCACGCTCGTTCTAAATCGTCGCTGCAAGAGCTCTCTCTCTCTCTCTCTCTCTCTCTCTCTCTTCTCACGCTGGCCTTATTCGGCCTTATTCGCGCGAGTTTTATTCAACTTTACGCACAGACACGTCGCTATGTGCCTCTCTGCTCGGGGTGCAGGGTGGAGGGCGATCCATTTTATCCTCAACGGGGATTTACTCGCCGCGATTTTACATCTCAGGAAGCGATAGTTCTTCGCGAAATCGTAATAACCGCGAGACAACGCAAACGGGGTGAGTTACGAAGGACTCTGCCATCGCTCCGAGTCGTTC